GGGCATGAAATGCAATGAATAAAATTTTGACTAGTTTAGGGTGGTAGGAAAAAAGATCTCCAAGTGTAAATTTGGTGGAAAAAACAAGATAAAAAGCAGTATGTATAATATTCTACCTTTGTGTAAAAAAGGGGAACTTAAAATTATCTATGCATATTTTCTTATCATTTGCCTAAAGAAACTAGAAGAATATACACGAAGCTAATAAAAGATTACCTTGAGAGAAGTTGGGGGCAGATGGGTAGGTAAGACATAACGGTGGGCGAGACTTTTCACTGTATACCTTTTTTAACCAAATGAATTTAAGATCGTTTTTAAAAAAAATAAAATATAACAATATTCAGTCTGAACCAGACAAGAATCTGGACTGAATTTGGCCCATGAACTGCCATTTGAGACCTCTCTGTTAAACAGATTCCTAAACTTCAATTATTGAAATTTGAATCTTTGATTCATTCATTCAGTTCACATTTATTGAATGCCTCCTAAGGCCCAGGCTTCATGTGCAGGACTTGGTCTCTGGTCTCAAGGAACCTTTTTGTCTCGATTCTAGTGGCCCTTCTTGGTGAATATTTAAAAAGAAATATCTTTTTATTATTTTGGCAACTTAAACTAATTAATATGTGTTTCCAAGTTGAATTTCCAGTGCATAGGTAAGACTTGCTTGCGGATTAGCAAAATTTATTTATAGACACACAGTAATGTTTAAGACCAAAAAATATTTTGATCTTAACTATTTTGAAATAAACCCTTTTTAGCCTTGTTTGTTCTATTGATTTATTAGGCAAATACTTTATATATTACTAAGGATAAAGTTAAACCCAAACCAAGTCAGTTACTTCAAATCTAAATAAAATGAATCCATATTAATGAAGCTTAAATATATTTGCAAATAAAATGAGATCTAACTGTTCTCAATGAGAGATAGGAAATATGAATAAAGAGAAGAGGGGAACCAGGAATAAAACAGAAATCCAATATATCTCCCCTTGAAGAAAAAAAAATGATTTGACAGCCTCCTTTAATCTGGTAAGCTAATATGGACACTTATCTCTTCTAAAAGTATATTTTGGCTTCTTTCCTCACCATGCCCCCATTTCCTCCAGCCCTCTGACCCTGGCCCACATTTGACGCCTGGAAGTGTATAGTTTATGTAGAAAAGCAACATGTTCTGCCCTCTAGTAGAATGGAGATAGAATGGAGAACTGTGTTCCCCACATGCCCCTGTAAAAGTGCCAATAGAAATTTAGATTGTCTCAAATGTAGAAATACATTTCCCACCATGACACTGGGAAATATTTCAGGTTTCTAGATTCTTAAAGATTCGGCTTCCTGAAAATTCTATTCTGAAGCCTACTTTTCTTTGACTAATTGTTAGTCAGGCGGCAGAGTTATTCAAGACTAATATTACTGGTTTTGAATCGACACTAATATTTTGAGGAAGCCTAACTACTCGTGTGGAGCAATGTTTCTGACCAGAATGTTACCTCAAGAGCCTCAGAGGTTAAATAACTTTATTTGATAAGAAAGAGGTTCATTAACAGTTTGTCACATATGTCTCGATAAATGATTTCTTCAGGGTGATAAAACAAGAAAGTCTTCTCTATATGCTGTTTAATAAAACTTGATCCAGTTTGAGATTTAACATCCATCTAGTAGAATTTTGCATCTGGTTCAGGTATCTTTTACTACATCATAACTGCCCCCCCCCGCCCAATTTAATGACTTGAAACAGCAATTCACTGCTATCCCTCATTAATTGTTCTGTAGGTTGGCTGGGCTCAACTGAGCTTGAAATTCTTGCTTGGAGCCTCTCAAATGGTTGCAGTCAGATGTTGTCTGAGGTCTAAGTAATTTGAAGGCTTGAGGGAGTCGGACATCTCAGATGACTTCTTGACTCACATATTTGGCTCCTCAGCTAGAATGGCTGGAAGAGCTAGAAAGTGATCTCTCTCTCTCTCTCTTCACGTGGCTACATTGGGATTCCACACAGCATTACAATCTCAGGGTAGTTAGAATTCTTATGGTGGCTGTTTCTCCTAGGGTAAAGGTTCAAGAGACTCTTATAGAAGCTGCAAGGTTTTTTTACAGCCTAGCTTTGGAAGCCATGCAGCATCACTTTTGTTTCATTCAGTTGGTAAAAGACTAGTCATACACAGATACCAACTAGTAGAGCTTCCAACAGCCAAAGCAGGGACAATTTGACCAATAAAATAAATAACATAGTATTGGATTATAACACGAATTATAGGACAGGGATCTGTTGAGTTCATCCTGATATAAATAAATGAATAAATAAATATATGTGGGAGAAAAGACAAATCTCCCTTGAAATGGAATTCCAAATAGTATGTAGATATTCCACCCTCAAGAAGGGGAAGCATGAATCCTTATTCTTTAAGTGTGTGCTGCTCATAATGACTTCCTTTCAGAGTGCAGAATGGAAGGTGGGAAAGAAAAAGGATCTCAGAAATATGTTCAATGTTAGTAACAACAGCGATAAATTGTGTTGACAGTATATATTCTTGATATCTTGTGATGAAAATGGCACTTCTGTGCTCTTCATTCCAAAAATCCATAACCCCAGTCTAACTGTGGGAAAAGCACCAGACAAGTTCCAATAGAAGGACATCCTACAAAATACTTGATCAATCCCTCAAAACTGTCAAGGTCATCAATGGGGAGAGTCTAGTTCAATGGTAGATTGTGTGCTTAGCACGCATGAGGTGCTGGGTTTAATCCCCAGTACCTCCATTAAAAAAAAAACAACCTAATTACCACCCCCCTTCAAAAAAAAAGACAAAACTGTCAAGATCATCAAAAAATAAGAAATTCTGAAAAACTGTCACAGCTAAGAGGAACCAAAGGACAATGACAAATCAATGTAATATGGTACCCTGGATGGTATCCAGAGCAGAAAAAGGTATTAGGCAGAAACCAAGGAAATCTGAATGGATTACTATGGACTTCAGTTAATAATAATGTATTAATGTATTAATAGGTTTTCATGAATTGTAGCAAATGTACCATGCAAATATAAGATGTTAATAATAGGAGAAATTGGTGAGGGGGAATGTAAGAACCGTGTGTACTATGGCCTCATTTTTCCTATAGATCTAAAACTTTTCTTAAAAATAAGATCTATTAAAAAAAAGTTAGGTATAGGACCCAGATTTGAGGGAAAGGGACTACAAAAGATGTGAAAAACAGAAAGTGTGGTTCATTGGGGGACCATCTACAATAGCATTTGTTCCATTGATTTTCCTACAAGGACTCACCTTTCTACCTTTGGATCTAGAGATAGAGTCAGTGACTCTGGCCTAAGGCAATCAGTGAGTTTCATATCCCTCACCAGAATCTCCTTACTTACAACCAAAACTAAGGAAACTGCATCTCCTTTGCCACGGAATAATTTCAATGGGGAGTAACTTAAGCTGGGGCAATCAGAGTAATTCTAAGACTGTTAGAAAAGTCCCTCTGGCCTTGAATTTGGGTATATGTGAGGTGGGAGCTGCTGCCTCTTATCTTGTCATCAGAAGGGGAGAACTTGGTGTGGTGCTAGGAACCACCAACTAGAGTATGAGAAAGAAGCCAACAAAATGGGGGTAGCTGATAAAAATAGAGTGAAAAGATGGGGAAAAAATGAGCTGTGGAGCATTACGGAGGCCAGAATCTATCCCTACTTGGAAGAGCTCTGCCTCTGGAGATTTCTCAACTACATAAGTCACTATTATCTTTTTGGCATAAGTCAGTTTGGTTTGGGACTTTTTGGTCCATTACAATAGAAGAAGTTCCCAAATGACATAAAACAGTTATTGTCCTCCAGTTTATCTCTATGTTAAATATGATCAGAATATTAATTAATTTTAAGATTCCTGCTTTTTTAAAGGCTGCTCTGTTTATTCCCAAATCACTATTAATCTGAAGATAAATTTGGCAAAGTGTAAATTGGTTAATATGTTTAAAACACTTAGAACAATTGCATAGGACACAGGAAGTGCCCAATAAATGTTAGATATTACTTATAATTATTATTTTAGCTTATTTTAAAGGGCTAAAACTTTGTTATGGCATTAAATATACATATAGTTATCACAGTAAAAAATTAGAAGAATCATATAGCAAAGTAGCTAAAAGCATATTTTATAATCCAACAGATTTTGGTTCAAATTCCAGCCATGCTCCTTACTTGCTGTGTTTGCCTCTCTGAGCCTTATTTCATTCTGCTAAAAATTAGAATAAAAATACCTCTTAGAAGTAAAATTAAATCATATTTACAAAGGCCCAGTTTCAGTGGCTAATGCAGAATATGCATTCCAGCAAGTGTCATTATATTATTTTATATTGTGTGAAGATAAAAGACTGAAATTATAATTAGCCTATAAAAAACTTGTCAAATAAATCAAGAATCCATGTAAGTGACATGTTTATTATATCAATGTATGAATTACCTATCTAAAAATTAAAATGAATAAAAGTTGCTCTAAAATTTATGAACTATATTTATTATAGAAGACATGACATTATTTTGAAAATTTGGGGCTAACATACTTTTTCTAAGTTACAAGGTTAAAACACTATTTCAAATGTATTATGATATCCTTTAATTAGCAGACCATATTTGTTCAATGTCAACTGTGTTCTAAAATTATAAATGAACAAGTTGCACAATGCTGAACAGTAAGTTGAAATAGATACTGGTTTGTTAGATGATCAGTGTCATAAAATTAAACTTATAGTCAATAAATATCATCAAATTGAAATTAGTTAAAACAAAGTAAAGGGTCTGAGAAACAGTGTTGTATGAATACATTTCAAATATATAATTGCTTTTAAAGAACAAGCAAATGCTAGTGTTTTAATTGTTGTAATGGGACCATTTTGGTTGCCAAGTAAAAAGAATCCGATTAATATGATTTTCTCATCTAACAAGTCTGGAGGTAGGGTGCTCCTGGTTTAGTACTGTCATGATGGACTCAGTTTTTCGATCTTTTATCCAGCTCCCTCCCTGGTCACAAGATGGCTGCAGCAGATCCAGCTCTCATAATCTCACACCAATGCCCAGGTAAGAAAAGAGGATTTCTTCCTTGTGTTTCTGTAGAAGAGCTAAGAAACCTTTTCAGAAGAAGCAACTTTCCCAGTTTTCCATCCTGCACAAACTTCTCTTCAGGTCTCATTGACCAGAACAAGGTCATAAGGGAAATAAAAGTACTGTGATTGGTTTGAATGACCTAAGAGTCACTCTGGGGGCTGGGACTGGACCATTTGTCCATGTCAATGAACATGGGTGGTTATCAGAGTGGAAGAAGAGGGGAATGGGTGGTGGGCAGGCAAACAAACACCTAGTACACTGACAAGCACCATTCCAAAAAAGTCAGAAAGACAATTTAATTGATGAAAGCATAATGTTAAATATTATGAAGTAGTTAGAGGAAATAAGTGTAGAGCAACGTATGTAGATCTTAAAAGCATAGTCTTCAGTGAAAACAGAGGGAAAGAGGACAAAATCTATTGTACAATATTTATGTTGCTTAAAAGTACGTGAACACTGGAACATTCACCTACTGCTATTACATTTGGTACAACCATTTGGGAAAACTGTTGGGCAGAATCTTCTAAAGCCAAACAGAAGTATGCCCTACTTCCCAGTAAATTAGTCTCCTAGGCAGATACATATGCATATCTATGTGCACCACACATATCTGAGAATATTTAGAGCAACACCATTCATAATAAGCTGGAAACCAGCCACTCAAGTGTCCAGCAGCCAGAGAATGGGTAAGTAAGTGATGGTATAGTTCTACATTAGAAGACAGTAACGGACTATCGTACAGTGTTCACTGGAATATTATACAGTGGTGAGAATGAATGAATGACTGCTATGTGCTACAACTAATGAAAGCAGTTACTAAAAAGTTCCAACTATATGATTCTATTTATGCGAATTTCAAAAATAGGCAGAATTAATCTGTAATGATAGGAGTCAAGATAGTGGTAACTTTTGGGGAGAGGGTCATAGTTATTGGAATGGATTTCTGGTGGGCTGGTAATGTTTTATTTCTTAACATGGGTGATAGTTTCATGGGTTTATTTGTGAAAATTCACAGAGCTGTACAATTGTGATGTTCAGTTTTCTATATGCATCTTATACTTAAAATTTTTTCTTTAAAAAATCATACACATGCAAAATAGCATTTATTTATTTATTTAATTAATTAATGAGAATACAAAGAAAACTCAGTCCGTGTCTCCATGGAGCTTAATTCTAGTAACAAAAATAAATGTAATAATAGTAACAGCAGGTAATACTAAATAGCGTAGATTGTGTGCCAGATCAGATTGTAACCATATGCAGTGGACACTATCATCATCCCCATTTTGAATGAAGGAAATGGAGGACCAGGCTACCTGCTGAAGATCACATAGTAAGTGGTAGGGTGAGAATGCAAGCCCAGTAACTCTAACTCTAGGGTCTGGCTTTTAACCAGGATGCCCTATCGCCTCTCATTCCAGTGAAGGAGAAAGACAAAAAACAAAGATAGGTACAAAAACTATCTCAGGTGACAACAACTGCAACTAAGAAAATCCAAAATACAGAGACAGAAAGTGACAAGGGGGATTATGCTTTTCAATAGAATGATTAGGGAAAGTTTTTTCCCTTCCCCCTTTAAAAAATTAAGCAATGTTTGAACAGAGACATGAAGGAAGTGAGTGAGCCATGTGGATATGTTAGCAATGAGTGTGTTGGGTAGAAGAAATAGCAGGTACAAAGGCCCTGAGGTGTGCATAGTAAGTTCAAGAAATAGCTAGGAGGTTGGGGTGGCCTAAGTAGAGTGAGATTGTGAGAGTGGGGGGAGATGAAGTCAGACTTAGTTGGCACCAGATCATAGATGGCCTATAGGCCAGTGTTTGTGCTTTATAAGGACATGCACATACCCCATGATATATGTAGTAAGTATATTAGAGTGAGTGCTTACCATAGGAGGGAAATGGTTGAGGGGATCTTGAATAAAAGAAATAAATACAAGGGAGGGACCTAGCACCAACCTATAAGGCTAGAGTATCATAAGTATTAACTCAGTTCTACACCTGAATTGTTGGGTAGAGTTGGGAACAACTCTGGCATGGTCTTTAACCAAAGACGACTCTATACTCCATCTCCACACCACCATAAATTATCCAGAAGTTAAAATGATGGTATCACATCTCCACGTCAGAGAAGAAAGTTATACCCTAAGTCTGTTAGGACTTCTCCGTTTCTGATGATTGATTTCCAAGTAGGTGGTAGTATTTACAATGGACTGTATTGCCTTTGGCCTGCAATGTGGCAAGAGATCTCTTTTCCTTTCGACAAAGCATCTTACTAAAAGTGTAATAAAACCTAGTTCCTTAAAAAGATATATTAACATCAATCATTTAAAAACTATATGACTTTATGGTTTAATTTTCCTAGGAATGACAGGCATACTGACTACATGAATTGTTGCTTAAAACAGTGATTTCTTCAAAACAGTCATTCATTGGTACTATGAGAGGTCTTACTTTAGGTTAGAGAGATTTTATTTTATTCAGGCTAATTATTGCAAAACTTGCCTCCATGTTTATTTTTTGGTTCTCAAAACCCAGAAAAGGTATCTTTTTAAAAAGTACAGTTGTCCTGTAACAATTCAGATGAAATAATATTTAAAAGCATTGTGTCCTGGCAATTCAGCAGTTGTACTTTGAACTTCATTAGGACTTTCAAAGAAAAAAAAGTGGAAAGAGAACTATCTTCTGCGATTTGACTCTCAAATGAGCTTCTAGGTTTCAGCTCAATATTGAAATTGTAAAAGGGATGAGCACTCTGTACATTAATTTATAATGCATTTATTAATCTGTTCACTACTTATTGAATGTCTCCTGAGTGTCAGACGCTGTGCTAAGTGCCTGGGATATGTTGATTAGGGAAAACAGACACAGTCTTGCCTTCATAGTGCTACAGGCTAGCAGGGCAGGGGACATCAGTAAAATAATTACTCAAGCACATATAGAACTGGAAATGTAACAAGCACTGTGGAAAAGAGGCTCATGAGGCAATGAAAGCCTGTAAGAAGGACTTTGGACTAGTTGGGTTGGTAAGGGAAGGCTGCTCTGGAGACATGACAGTTACATTCTGAACTGAAGTAAGAGGTAGGAATTAACTTAGTGAAGGGAGAAAGGAAGAGGATGAAAAACAGAGGGAAAAACCAAGTGAACAGTGGGAACATAGAACAGAAAGAAAGTCAAGAGAATAGGAATTCTTGATTAAAGAAAAAAAGATTATAGATGAAGGCTATATTCATTCATTCATTTAAGGAAAGTGTTTTGAGTGCCTACTGTGTGCCAAATCTTGTTCTAGGTGCTGGGAATATTGAAGAACATTGACTTTGTTATCAAAGTAAAGACATTAAAAACTTAATCATGCAGGGATGGGGGTGGGGTGGTGATATGATCATATCTGTGTTTTGCAGTTAACTAGCTCCAAAATAAAAACTGGCTGAGAAGAAGTCAAACTGTATTCTGTGAACTAGCTAGGAGGCTATCTCAGTACTTCAGCTGAGAGACTTTGCCTGAGGAAAGTAATGCTGGAGATGGCTAGCAGTGTGGGTAGCTTCAAAAGATAGTTTAGGAAGCAAAATAGGACATTGTGATAGGTTGAGGGGGCAGGGAGGGACATGTCAAGGATGTGTCTGAGGGTTCTAGCTGGCACAGCTAGATGGGTTACATAAAATAATGGCAATAATAATAAATCAACATTACCAACTGGTTTGACTGGAATTTTGGGGTGGTAAGGGGCTGTGGGTAGAAATTGCTGTATTGTAGTCTTTAGTCAAAGTAGAGTCCTTCCTCCTACCCACTATAAGTGATGATTGCCTCAAATCTTCCCTTTTTTTTTGGACAGAGTAGACATGTCTTACATATGTCAGAACTTCACTGGTTCTGATGGTCCATGTGAACACTGAAGCCTTTTATGAGTTGCACTGCTTTGGCCCTGCAATGTTGCCAAGAGTCCTTTTCTCTATAGATACAGCATCTTCTGAAAAGAGCAGTCAGACATAATTTCTGAAAAGCAAAAGAGGTATCTAATGTAGGGGGTAAAGCAAGGAGTAGAGAGGAACACACCTCAGATTCTTTGTTGGGATCCAGGTAAGATCAAAGTCCAGAGCATGGAGATGCAGCCTGTGAGGCTGGAGTGGAGGGTGGGATATCTGGCCTGGCAGGAGATGAGGCTGAAGTGACATCCTGGAGGACGCTCTGCACTTTGCTAAGGTTTCATTTTACCCAAAGGGCAGCAGAGAGACTTTGAAAAGGTTAGGAAAATGTCAGAAATAAAATTAGATTTGCATTTTAGAAAGATGACTTTATAATAATTTAAGCTGCCCTTATTTTGTAAACATTTTCTGAATATGTGTTATTTTCACAATAAAACTAATTTTTAAAAAAGGAACACTGGTTTTGTCTGCATCGTAGATTGGATTGGACTTGGAATGTGAGACAAGATGTAGGGAAACCAGTTAGAAAGCTATTGCCACAGGAGGTTAATAAAATGGAAGAGAAGTTGTGAACTTTGGAGCTAGGAAGACTTAAATTTGGATAGACCCTGGCTCTGCCACTTCTGGACTGTGTGAGCTTGGGAGGCTGTTTTTCTTCTCTGGGTCTTAATTTTTTCATCTGTAAAAATATGGATAATAGTACCTTTGTACATTATTCTTCTTTGTGATTATTGTGTATGTTAAGTTCCCAGCATATAGTGCTCTCAGCAAACATAGTTCTTACTCATTTTTAATGATGAAAAGAGTCTGAATTAAGGCAGAAGCAATGGGAATGGAGAGGGAGGGAATAGATGGCAATGATGTTAAGGAGGTTGATTGTATAAGCCTCAGGGACAGATTGAATGAATGTGGGAGAGCTGTCATATTCCCAGGGATCCTACATGGGTGGGATTAAGCAGATGGTGATTCCTTTCATTAGAAAGAGAAATCAAGAGGGTCAAGTTAGTGGTTTGGGGTGGGTAGGTTGGGAATGAAGGGAATTATGAACTCAGTG